CATCACCCTGACGCAATAAATCATTTACTGGATTTATTCTTATTCAGGAAATTCCAGAAAATGTTCAAAACTTCTAAAAATCATATAAAATCAACCGTAACTCAGAATGAAATAATTTATGTATGAAAAATTATCAGAAAAATCCAATCTATCCATCTGTATCATTTTCATGCATGTTAGAACAACTTATGGCTGCTATTTAGGACAAATCATATAAATGGCATTTGAATTTCACATATGGAGTTTGGATTTGAACTTAGGGTTCAAACCAACTTCATTTAACTTTGTTGCTAGCTGCATTAGCTCAAATCAACAGCATATTGCCATGTCACATTCATGCATCATATTCCTGCATTGCATTGATTGTGTTCTTCCTTGTTTGCCGGTGTTTGTCCCCTCTCGATAGACGTGGTTCCGACGATGAGATCGATGACACCGATGAAGAGCTATATTATCTTCAGAAGTGCCAGGCAAGCAAAACCCCCTTGTTCATTCCGATACAATCCCACTCTCTCGCTCCTGCTCTCTTTTACTGCATTAGGACAACAATGATTCATCTGTTACTTGCTGCGGTAGCTGAACCCCTTTATCCTTTGCATGACCTGTCATTGCCACAGTAAATAGATGAAACCCACTAGCATGACTAGGAGTTGTTTGAGCCCTGTTGCGCCTACTCATTCATGCTTGTTTGTCATGCCTGCTACTGCTTAGAGTTGAGTCAGGTCTGATTCATCGGGGATGAATCAGAGGTGTGTGAACATGTCCTACTGTTGAGAGCTAAGTGTGTGAACACGATTTGGTAAAGGTAGCGGTGAGAGGCCATGTAGGAGTACATGGTGGGTTGTCTCATTGCAGCCGTCCTCAGGAACTGAGTTCTGTGTTTGTGATCCATGACCAGTTACTACCACGCATTGGAATGCTTAAGTGCCCCTCTCGACTTATTAATCAACTCGATCTCTGTCCAGGAGTTGCAACTAGTTTCTGGTGTTTGTAGGTTGTGTTAGTAGTCTACCAAGTGGTACCCGGTACAGGTGGGCTTGGGACAGACTAGGCACCGTGGCACGGTGTACCAAGCGTAGATCCACCCGTCGAGGTGGGCTTGGGAACCCTGCACACATTGTTTGGGGCCGTGAGCGACACCCCGGCCGGATCTCTTTGCGGATGGAACCCGAATAGGCGATAAACCTGGACGAGAGACTTGTGTGGTTAGTCAGGTCGTGGCCGACACCCTCGCTGGGCTTCCGCTTGAAGGTTGCCGAGTACATGTCGTGTAAACGGCGGTAAGTGGTGAGAGTGTGTGTGAAGAAGTACACCCCTGCAGGGTTAACATCATCTATTCGAATAGCCGTGTCCGCGGTAAAGGACTTCTGGGTTGCCTGTACAGTTCATAGACAAGTGAAAGTGGATACTCTAAAATGCGCAAGATAAGCGTGAGTGCTATGGATGGCGTTCTCGTAGGGAGACGGGAGCGGATCCATAGTGGTGTATTGATATGGTGAATATGTGGACTCGTGTGCGCCACCTCAAAAGAGTTACTTGCAGTCGTAGTTCAGGATAGCCACTGAGTCAAAGCTGGCTTGCTGCAGTTAAACCCCACCATCCCCTTTGTTGATACTAATGCATATGTAGATAGATCTGATGTAAGTCTTGCTGGGTACATTTGTACTCACGTTGCTTAATTTATGTTTTTGCAGAGAGACTTCCGTCTCGCTAGTAGTTCCACGTGGACTTCGATGTTTAGCTTGTTACCTCAGCTACGATCTTGTGCCCTCGGCAGGATCTAGTAGATAGACAGGCTTTTCAGCCTTTTTCATTTGTAGATGTCTGTACTTAGACATGTTAAGCTTCCGCATGTGCTTTGACTTGTATGCTCTGATTGTTGGGTCATGAGACTCATGATTGTAATATCTCGCTCCTCGGAGCATATTGAATAAATACTTGAGTTGTAGAGTCATTCTGTGATGCCATGTTGTATTTGCACATATCGAGCATATTGTGTGTATGTTATTGAAATGCTTGGTATGTGTGGGATCTGACTATCTAGTTGTTTATCCTTAGTAGCCTCTCTTACCGGGAAATGTCTCCTAGTGTTTCCACTGAGCCATGGTAGCTTGCTACTGCTCCGGAACACTTAGGCTGGCCGGCATGTGTCCTTCTTCGTTCCTGTGTCTGTCCCCTCGGGGAAATGTCACGCGATGAATTCCGGAGTCCTGTTAGCCCGCTGCAGCCCGGTTCACCGGAGTCCTGCTAGCCCAGTGCTACAGCCTGGATTCACTCACTGATGACCGACACGTTCGTTGTTGGGTCATGTATGCCTGTCCCTGTAAGTTAGTGCCACTTTGGGTTCACGACTAGCCATGTCAGCTCGGGTTCTTTGTCATATGGATGCTAGCGACACTATCATATACGTGAGCCAAAAGGCGCAAACGGTCCCGGGCCAGGTAAGGTGGCACCCGTGGGAATACCATGCGTGAGGCCGCAAAGTGATATGATGTGTTACATGCTAGATCGGTGTGACTTAGGATCGGGGTCCTGACAGTCTCACCCACGGTCCCTTCCATATTTTTCTCTCCGTTGCATTATGAAAATGAGACATGAGTAGCTTTTTAGGTAGAACCAATGTATCTTTATGAATTCGATAACTGAACTTTGTGTCCATACTTGAGAAATATACTTGTAAAGTTTTTGAAACAATGGAATAGTTGGTACTTATATAAAATATTTCTCAATTGATTGAAATATTTACAATTTGTGGGAAATCTTTTTTTTTAATTTGATTGAAGTATAACTGAAATAAGTAAAATTTGTGCTAGTATTTATGAAATCTATATTACTGAAAAGATTACACTAATAAAATATTTTGTACTTCATAAAATATTTCCGATTTGAATGGTGAATGAAGTCATCAAAATTTGTGTGAAGTCTCTATGAAATGTTTCTGAATTGATTCAAATCCGATTGCAACATTTAAATTTGTTTGGTTATTCATGATTCTTAAACAATCTCAAATGGCACATAAATAATTCAAAAACTAATTTATAAAAAGCGATTATTTGGAATGCACTAGAATAATAGAATTTGGTTGGAATATGAACAAATAATTGAAACGTTTTTTCATGGGCCCAAATATTTGACTGTCATTGTGGAGGCTACCAACACTAAGGGGACTAATTCTCGATCCGTCGGTGGTATATGTTTGTCATTCGAACAACAACACTACCGGCGGACCAAATTCTTGACCCATTTGTTGTGACTTATTTTTATTAAATCTGAATCATTTCACACAACTGCTCTCGTGAAAGAGGCTTTCCATCCCACTATATATATAAATCAACAACATCTGAACAAAGCATGTGGCCAAACGATACAAGATGATGAGGTAGCCCTCATACAGTACCGGTCCCAAGATAAACGGATCACGCAGTACGCATACGAGTAGTCTACTGAAAAAAGCACAGGGAAAACTAAGTACAACGCCCCCACTATGTTCTACGACACCTAAGCTTCACGACAACGCCCCCAGGTGGGATACACATGGCAAAAAAGGGGCAAGATATGAAACCTTTTGTCTATAAAAAGAATAGCGAAAAACGATTTAGATCGGTTTTGAAAGCATCAACATTTATATGGGAAGCTAGCTCTTCTCGAAGAGTATGAACTCGAACAATGGAAAAGTTGCCATTGAATTTTAGAGTGTGTGCAAGTCGGCTCATTAGCATTTTCGGGGAATAAAACCAAGTCTCGATCAGGTGACATAACATGCAAAAAAGAAAAAAAAAGAAAAAGATTTTTTTGTGCACGGTTCAAAAATCTCACGCATATAGCGTCTACTGAGCTTAACCAGGTCTCAGTCAACTAAGATTTAGTAAGACTATTAACAATATGGTGAGAAACATCAAAGTTGAGTAGTTGTATCAACAATGATAGAAAAAGGTGGCGATGAGCAAAATACAAATGGATAAGCAGCCCCACTAGCGCTGCGTGCGCTATGCAGTTTGGGTTCCACGACCACCGCATGCCAGTTATTTTCTTTTTCAATGATGACCTGATGAGCACCTACCTAAATATTTTGGTCTCTGTCGGTCATACCAGGCTACCAGCTAATGATACATTAGTATTTTCTGTTAAATAATGACTGGGGGACGTCTACTCATGTATCCACTGCACCACCCATACTTTTTATTTCTACAGCGCAGTGGGTGGAGTGGCTGATCTGACCGAGCTAGAATGCGCATAAAATGAAGCAAACGATGCCATTGAGTTCTTGACAAACCAAACAATTCAATCACCCCCTCCACCGCGCATCGTCTCGAAAATGAAAATAGACATGGTCTGCGACGACGACATTAAGCCATTGCAACGGCAGAAGGTATGCGTGATCGGGGCCGGGATGGCCGGGTTGGCGTCAGCCCGCGAGCTGCGGCGGGAGGGCCACGACGTAACGGTGCTGGAGCAGAGCGGCGACGTGGGCGGGCAGTGGCGGTACGATCCCATGACTGACGGCGCAGACCCGCTCGGCGCCGCGGCGGCGCCGGTGAAGGTGCACGGCAGCATGTACGCGTCCCTCCGCCTGATCAGCGCCCGGGAGACCATGGGGTTCACCGACTTCCAGTTCGCGCCCAAGGACGGCCGCGACGGCCGCCGCTTCCCGGGCCACCGCGAGGTGTACCTCTACCTCAAGGACTTCTGCGACGCGTTCGGGCTCATGGAGTTCGTCAGGCTCAACACCAGCGTTGTGCGTGTTTTCCTGGCGCCGGGCCCGACGAGGCAATGGACGGTGAGGTCCGTCGATCTCGGCAAGTCCGAGGAGGTGGAGGAGGCGTTCGACGCCGTGATGGTGGCCAACGGCCATTACTCGCAGCCGAGACTGCCAAGCATCGAAGGCATGGAGGTGTGGAGGGGGAGGCAGATGCACAGCCACTCGTACAGGGTGCCGGAGCCGTTCCGCGACGAGGTGGTGGTGGTGGTCGGGGTGCGGCGCGAGCGGCAAGGACATCGCCATGGAGGTCCGCAGGGTCGCCAAGGAGGTGCACCTCGTCGCCAAGTCCATGGAGGAGGTAGCCCAGGAGCTCGCCAAGTTGCTCTCCAAGTACAGCGCCAGCCTGCACCTACAACCGCACGTACGTACTAGTGTTTTTTGTTTTCCGGGCTCTAGTCATGTCGATCTCCAGTTCTCCACATGGATGCAAAACGAAATGATTGATCCGACAACACGTCAGGTGGAGCGGCTGTGCGAGGACGGGCGGGTGGTGTTCGGCGACGGCTCCACTATCCTCGCCGACACCATCATCTACTGCACAGGGTTCAATTACTGTTTCCCTTTCCTGGATACGGAGGGAGCGGTCACCGTCGACGACAACTGCGTGGGCCCGCTTTTCGAGCATGTGTTCCCCCCGTCGCTGGCGCCGTCGCTCTCCTTCGTCGGTATACCCGTAAAGGTACGTGAACCTGTTGGTAGGCGAGAGCGAGTTAGCGACGTTGCATTAGATCTTGACGATACTCCTCGGGTCGGGATCGTCGATCATGAGTCAGCGCTTGTTCTTTACGTCACGTACAAAAACATGCATTTGGTTGTAGGTATTTGCGCCTTGGTTCTTTGAGGCTCAGGCGAAATGGGTGGCGCAGGTGCTGTCCGGCAAGAGGACGCTGCCCCCGGAGGTGGAGATGATGCGGTCCGTGGAGGAGTATTACCGCGCCAGGGATGCCGCCGGCGCGCCCAAGAATTACACCCACGACGTCAGCTTGTTTGACACCACGGCACTGACTACTACACACAACCTGCACGACAATCGGACGCTCGTATGGTGCTATATACTCCCCCTTTCCTAAATATAGGCCATTTTAAAGATTTCTATATGAACTTGAATTTTAAGACTTTGTTACACTTTCTAAAAATATGGCTGCATGCATCGACTTATGCAGAGGCCGGAGGCAATCCTCTTTTTTTAAAGACATATTTTAGAGTGTAGATTACACATTTTGCTTCGTATGCAATTTATATTGAAATATCTAAAAATATTTATATTTAGGAACAGAAAAAGTAGCTAATAAATAGATTTACACGACCGTGTTTTACATTGTGAGTTGCCTTGTGATCTGCAGTTCATGGATGAGTTCGGGAGCAAGTACTGCGACTTCCCTGGCGTGGAGAAATGGCGTTACGAGCTGCTTGTGTCGTCGTTAGTCAACATGTTCGATAACCTCGAGACCTTCCGCGATGAGTATCAAGACAGCGACTCCATCCGCAAGGGTGTGGAGGAGTGGCACTTGTCTGCACAACAGGCCCAAGCTGCTGTTGTTGCTGTTGCACCTGCTGCTACGAAAGAACAATTACTTGGTCTTCTCGAAAAAGTAGAGTGACGATTATGCACTATATGAGCGCCTTCCATTCCATGACACGGCGTGTTCTGGGCTTCCACGGTCGGCATCGATGTATCTATTTCTTTTTCATAAACGGTGTCACAGACACCTTATAAGTGCATTTATGATTTTGTATTCAAGAGTGTTCTTGAGACTACAAGTTGTATGTACATCCCACGTTTAAAACACTTGCTTTGTGATGAGACTTTTAAAATAGGGAGCTAGTTGGGACGATATCCTTAGATATGTCAAACACCCCAGTGCGAAGACTACGCATGCGGGCCCTTCTAGCTAGGCCTTCGGGCCCAACAACACAATTCCCTTTGCAGAAAAATACACAAAATGTAAAAAATAACCAAAAACAAATGATATATACAAAAAATTAAAAAATAGTGTATGACATGTGCAGTGAGTATTACCATTAGTGTACAAAAGTTAATGGCTATGTTATATGCAAAACATTTGCCGACATCTATTACATTACCAAAATACATGCATAGTAAAATTTGCATGCAAAATGTAAATTGTTTGGAGGGCACCCGTAGATTCGGCTAGACATGGGTTGTCTTTGTATGGCGGAGGGGGGCTAAAATTTACCTTTCCATTTGGGAACCGCTGATAATGTGTTTAGCATGAAAGATATTGAAAATCTTCGATCGTGACGTTGACAGAAAAAGTACACCTCTCAGAATATATTCATCTCTGTTTTATGCTTCGAGCGCTGGCACATCTGCAAATCCCTGTTTCCCTCTACGAAAAGCCTATCTATTTACTTTTATTATTGAGTCATCACCTTCTCATTTTAAGCATCAATCCTAAGAGCTCTATTGTCATTCTTTTGCATTGTCTCTAGTTAATGTTGGATATGATCATGACTGGATCTCTTCTACCATAAATTGTAATGTTTAGTCGTTCCTTGAACTTCAGAGGTGTCCTACATTTATGTTTTGCGGTCTCAGAAAGGACTAGCGAGATACCATGTTATTATATTATATCATGATTGTTTTGACAAATTGTAGCATTTGAGATTCCTTATTATTGCTCGCTAGTTGTTATGTTATTGTCATGAGTAAATGTGAGACCTAAGTGTTATTATTTATATGGTTAGTTCATAAAGTTTGCTGAAAACTTGAACACTAGTTAAGCATATATACAACAACAAGAATAAAAGAGTTTGTAAAAGTTTTTTCTTTATTACTGTCAGTCGGTCAACTGAATTGCTTGACGACAAGCAATGAGCTTGGGGGAGTTGATATGTTCTAAGCTTGTCTACTTTTTCAAACACTTTTGCTTTTGTTTTGGATTCTAATTTGCATGATTTGAATGAAACTAACCCAGACTGATGATCTATTTAGCAGAATTGTCATGGTGCTATTTTTGTGCAGAAATATAAGTTCTAAGATTAAGCTGAAAATTACGGAGAATATCTTCAGAATACATAAAAAATACTGGTAAAGAGAACTACTAGAGGGGGGCCACCCAGGAGCCACAAGCTCAAGGGGCGCGCCCACCCCACAAGGCGCGCCTTGTGAGCTTGTGGGCCCCTCAAGCCTCCGGTTGCCCTAATTTCAATCTCATAAATACTGTTTCATGGAGAAAAAACTAGAGAAAAAGAGTCATCATGTTTTACAATATGGAGCCGCCGTCACCTCCTGTTCTTCATCGGAAGGGCTGCTCTGGAGTCCATTCGGGGCTCCGAAGAGGGGAATTTGACGTCGTCATCCTTAATACTTTGTTCATGTATTTACTAAGTGTTAATACTTTGTTTCGGTTCTCTATTAAAAGGAGGCCTTAATATCCCTTTGATTTTCTTATGGACCCTGCTTCCACGGGAGGGTCGGATAAGATGACATGCAAGTTCTTATTAATTATAAACACGTATGACTATATACGGAATACATACCTACATTACATTGATGAAATGGAGCTATTGTGTATCGCTCTAGGTTGTGACTGTTATATGATGAATGTCATCCAACGCAAATATTCATCACTGATGTAATCCTACACTTTTCTGATATAGGTCTTTACTAAGTTACTATAGTTGCTGCTATTACGATCTTCACAAATTGCTTCTGATACTGTTCCTGTTACTATTGCTACTGTGCTACTATACACTTTGTTGTGGAAATATAATTTTCTAGGTGTGGTTGAATAGACAACTCAACTGCTAAGGCTCATAAATATTCGTTGGCTCTCCTTGTGCTGAATTAATAAATTTGGGTGAAGTAATACCCTTGAAGACTGTCGTGATCCCCTATACTTGTGGGTTATCAAGACAGGTTGCTCCGCCTCGTCCTCCTCCAGATCCGGCACCTCAATCAGCTCCGGCAGCGGCTCTCCCTCCACCTCCGGCTGCTACTGCTCCTCCTCCACCGGCTTTGGCGAGTCCGGAGGTAGCCCGATAATGTCTACTATGCAACCTTCTTCTTGTAGACGTTGTTGGGCCTCCAAGTGCAGAGGTTTGTAGGACAGTAGCAAATTTCTCTCAAGTGGATGACCTAAGGTTTATCAATCCGTGGGAGGCGTAGGATGAAGACGGTCTCTCTCAAACAATCCTGAAACCAAATAACAAAGAGTCTCTTGTGTCCCCAACACACCCAATACAATGGTAAATTGTATAGGTGCACTAGTTCGACGAAGAGATGGTGATACAAGTGCAATATGGATGGTAGATATAGGTATTTGTAATCTGAAAATATAAAAATAGCAAGGTAACTAATGATAAAAGTGAGCGAAAACGGTAGTGCAATGCATTGAAACAAGACCTAGGGTTCATACTTTCACTAGTGCAAGTTCTTTCAACGATAATAACATAATTGGATCATATAACTATCCCTCAACATGCAACAAAGAGTCACTCCAAAGTCACTAATAGCGGAGAACAAACGAAGAGATTATTGTAGGGTACGAAACCACCTCAAAGTTATCCTTTCTGATCGATCTATTCAAGAGTCTGTAGTAAATAACATGAAGCTATTCTTTTCGTTCCATCTATCCTAGACTTCGTACTAGAATAACACCTTAAGACACAAATCAACCAAAACCCTAATGTTACCTCAATTATCCGCGGGTATGGTTATACGATATGCATCACACAATCTCAGATTCATCTATTCAACCAACACAAAGAACTTCGAAGAGTGCCCCAAAGTTTCTACCGGAGAGTCAAGACGAAAACGTGTGCCAACCCTATGCATAAGTTCACAATGTTACGGAACCCGCAAGTTGATCACCAAAACATACATCAAGTGGATCACGTGAATATCCCATTGTCACCACATTTAAGTACATGCAAGACATACATCAAGTGTTCTCAAATCTTTAAAGACTCAGTCCGATAAGATAACTTCAAAGGGAAAACTCAATCCATTACAAGAGAGTAGAGGGGGAGAAACATCATAAGATCCAACTATAATAGTAAAGCTCGCGATACATCAAGATCGTACCACCTCAAGAACACGAGAGAGAGATCAAACACATAGCTACTGTACATACCCTCGGCCCCGAGGGTGAACTACTCCCTCCTCGTCATGGAGAATGCCGGGATGATGAAGATGGCCACCGGTGAGGGATCCCCCCCCCCTCCGGCAGGATGCCGGAGCAGGGTCCCGATTGGTTTTTGGTGGCTACAGAGGCTTGCGACGGCGGAACTCCCGATCTAGGTTTCTTTCTGGAAGTTTGGGTACATATAAGAGGTATTGGCGTCGGGAACAAGTTAGGGGGGCTCCGAGGCGGCCACGAGGTAGGGGGCGCGCCCAGGGGGTAGGGCGCGCCCCCCACCCTCATGGGTGCCTCGGGACTCTTCTGGCCCATCTCTGATGCTCTGTGGGCTTCTTCTGGTCCAAAAATATGCTCCAAAAATTGGCACGTCAATTGGACTCCGTTTAATATTTCTTTTCTGCAAAACTCAAAAATAAGGGAAAACGGAAACTGACACTAGGCTCTAGGTTAATAGGTTAGTTCCAAAAATCATATAAAATAGCATATAAAACATTCTAGATGGATAATATAATAGCATGGAATAATAAAAAATTATAGATACATTGGAGACGTATCACCCGACAGCGATGCGGGCGGCACGCCTTGCCTGGATCACCTCCGCGATTTGCCTCCGGCACTCCAGCGTGAGCGTAACGTATATGGTGATCAGCCATCGGACCACGGCGATGCCGGAGAGCATGGGAGAGCGGGGGAGAGGAGGCGGGCGGGCTCGGGTGGTGGCGCAGAGAGGAAGGAGGTGGATTGGCTAGGGTTGGGGGACGCCGGCCGGTTTAAATAGTCGGATTTGGCCTCGGGCGACGAGTCGGAGCGGCGTCATGTGGCGTTCACACCGCGGCGATGGACGAGGCGTCCGTCAGACCGCCGTATTTCCCGACGAGTCCTCGTCAGACCCCATCATCAGTCCTCTACGTGGGGGACTCGCCCGGGCATGCCCCTATATCTGCCTCATTTTTAGACTGGATATGAGGCGTGCCGGTCATCCCGGATTGCTTGAGGCCCATTTGAGGTGTCCGTCTGAATGAAAAATTCATGACCGGTCAGTGACCGGATAGCCTGTCCATGCGCATGAGACGGGTTTAAGCTACCCGGCTATAGATGCTCTGACTAGCAGGTGGTTTCTGCTACAAAAGCATTTTCTCATGGTCCCGAGAAAATCACAACCTTTAGTTTAGCTAGGCCGTACGTACGACAAGTCAAGTCATTAACTTATAATTAGTTGGACTTGTTCCTTCGGGTCTAGGGATGACATGATCGAGCCGTGTTCCTTGTAGTAGAAGACGTATGGGCTTTCACACAGCAGCTGACTAGCTGCGCATATGGGCTACCTAGCCAAAAGTAGGTACTTTCCACACGTGCGAGAGAGCACGCACGGGTTACCTGAAAGCGCTCGTGCGAGTACGTTGTTATTAAGGCTCAGGCTTTAGCCACACTGGAAGTAATTTCAGCTGTAACATCGAGTTCAACTCAGCAAATTTGCTTATTTGATAATGAGTTAA